AGGTCAAGTAAAATGTCGGACGCATAGAATATTGATCCCGTATCACACATGAACCACAACACCGCATGTCTTATTTTTCTGCAATGTGTGTGTCAAGAAGCTAATGCTAAAAGCATTTGTAATAATGCATAAATTGGCTACAGAGCGAATAGGTTGAGATAATGTGGTGTGGTTTGGTCCATCAAAGAGGAAGTCAGTGTTTTCAGGTCCAAGTAGTTCACAATAGGAGTTACACATCAGGCAGTTCTCAGCCTATAGTGGTGACAGAGGTATGACTGTTGGAAAAGTGAAAATACAAACAGAGGGTAGCATCCTAGCATATGGACAAGCTGAAAAGGACAAGTCTCCTTTGTCCCATACTGCTGTTTCATTGGCGGCAGTATCAACTTTTATTTTTATGTTTTTTACAAAATATACTGTTTAAGACTTAACAACCATTACAAATAGTTACTTTTTGAGGATTGAACACCTTCCTCCTCACCGTTCTCATTTAAACATTACAACAACTGGAGTTTGCCCCCGAATTGAAGATCTGGCTCCTAATGGAGTACATGGAATAGAACTTTATATTTTGGTTAAATTACCATCTAAAATTTATGTAAAATCATCATATAACCCATTTCTGCCATTACACATTCATTCCCAAATAACTTTAACTTAATAGTTCACTCTTTATCTTTATAGAAATATATTTTTATCCCCTGGTCATTTTAGGCCATTTTTCCACCAAGCCCCAAACTTTTTCCATCCCTATCTTGATCTTTATTGTTGTCAGGTTTCATGCTAGGCCTGACCCTTCCTTTGTACTGATTATGATCTTTTTCTATGAGATATTACCAGGGAACTCATCTGATTGGCCCGTCCCCTGTGGCCTTTTCTTCTGTGTGTCACTTTTTGTGTCCTTTAACATGGTTTTACTAAAAAGTCTTTTTTAATCAATCAAGACGGAGGCAGAAAATGAGCTTTGTCATGGCCAGGCCTGGGGTCGTGTGACGCCTGCTCTGCCTGGTGACAGGCCTTCAAAAGGGATAAAAAGGAATATTTTGGGGGGAAACCGGGGGTTTCCATGGCACCAGTACTTGTTGCACATGGATCACCATTCTTTGTTTCCTCATGAGACTGAGGTTTCAAAGGGCTGGACAACAAAAATTAGGCAATGAGGGGACAGCGGGACTGTGGAGGTAGCTGCCCTCCAGCCCCCGACTCTGTCCTCTCCTGGGGCACGAGGAGAATAGGAGTCAAAAGTGACAGCACAAAAAGAGGCCTAGTAGGTGCTGTCAAAAAAATGCATGAGTAAATGGTCAGTTTCTCACCCAGAACATTGAGCACAGACCTACGCAGTGCGTTCTTTTTGTGGTTTCCACTTCATCTAATTACGTTGTCTCATGTTAGATTAAGTCACGTAAACTTGTATGTTTTTGAGTTGATGTGTGGGAAATGAAACCAGGAAACTCAGACAATAGATTGGCAGTCATTACAGCTAAGAGGTTATTATTTTAAACTGTTCCTTTCAGCTAAGTGCCTGTTCCTGTTATTTAAATTTGTAATCCATTATAGACTACTGTAGTGTTTTTTTTTACCTCACACCCCTTAGTTTGAACCTTAACCTGAAATAACCTAACCACTAAGAGTTGATTTATTTACTCTGTATATGATATTTGACTCAAGTCTGTCTTTTACTGTACACACGCTGAATGTTCTTGATTCTAATATCCTCTCACAGTTTTCTAAAGACAGTCCTAAGGTCAGGGTTTTCGCGTGTCAGGATTCCTTTAAGCAATTTGCAATAATTTCCATAGCATCATCACAGCCACCTACAATATCAAACAAGGTTACACACATATGCTGCTCCTCACACATGCAGTCAGAGACATATCGTCTTTACAGATGAGAAGTTTCCATATCATCACACAGAAAGTCGGGATTATCTCGTGGAAACAGTATCTAAATTATGAAAACGTACATGCTTGATTTCTGTTGCTTGTTTTTCAAATTTCAAAAGCAGTTCTTTTTGTTTTACTATGATAGAGAAAACATTTTTAGTCTAGTTTCACTTTTGCGTTATCACACACACACTGTACATTTTTTTATGTTGTCACTCCTTTGAGTTCCTCAACAATACACTGCCAGCCTGTTTGAAAGGTTAAGGCAGCCGGGATATGTTCCTTGATGGGATTTTATCATGCCAGGCATGCTCTGTTTCCTGATGAATATATTAAAAATATTACTGTGCAAACAGAGTTTCTAATTACTGACCTGCTTGCCATTGTACTCTGCGTTCTGTATGCCCCCCCTTCTTCGCCATGCCTTGTTTATTTATCTGCACCAGTGAATACAGAATAGTCTATGCAGTGTCATTTCCATCCACATGAAAATGATTTTGAAAATGCCAATCTTGCCTATTATACAGTGTAATTACTTGTCTGCTTTTTGATTTTTATCATATCTTCAGCCAGTGGGAAGATACAAGGAGATGCTAAACATAGTGAGAGTGCTGGTGAAAAGAGAGAGAGAGAGAGAATAAATACCTTTTGCATTAAAGTATGTGTGTAATAAAGGGTTAACTGCTGCACAAAAAGATGTCATTTGAAACTAAGGCATTGTTTAAGGTGAGAGCATATGATGTCACGTAAGGTAAAACTCAACTCCCTAACCCTGACTGATGGCATTTTTCAGCTGTTATGTACTGCATGTAAAAAGAATTTCACAAAGTGGAAAAGTTAAAAAAACACAGACACAAAATAAAAAGTGTTTAAAAATGTATTATTAGACTTAGACGTAAACAGCAATGTAACTGGTGGGTCACATCCTCTTTCTTTTAAAAAAAAAGAATTGTTTTTGTTTTGGTAACCGATGATTCTCACTGTTGTAGTTTTGTGGGTTTTTTGTAACATTTTACAAAAGAGTTCTGTATCATCACCTTGGTGTGAACTCCCTGATGCTGAGCAGTTTCCACCTCAGGCTGTCATAGCCACAACTATCTTTTCTTGACCATGTCACTGCATATCCTGCTGCAGTTAATGACAAAAGCCAATTATTTTGTGTTATTTTGAGCTAATATAGATATTGACTCAAATGTTTCTGACAAATGAAAACAGAACATTTAGCCAACACACGATCCCAGCTGGCAAAGACTAAGCTTTTGTTGGAGGCTCTTTAAACTAGTGTTGATGTCTGTCCAATACTGTATTTAACTATACATCATGTGACCTCCCAGTCTGCTATTTGCATGAAACTTTTCAGAATACATTTTCTCACATTGTATTTATATATATGGTTCAGTTTCTAAATCTGTTAATATCAATATACTGTGTATACTGCTCGGTACATACAGTATCTGTCAATATACTGTATGTACCGAGCACAGAGTCCTATAGAAAGTATTTTCAAATACATACCCTAGAAAAAAGAAGGAATGTGAACTATGGGCAGATGGATCTTTGACTTTGCATACTTAAGAAGAATTTATGAATGCATGCGTTTGTCTGTTACCTTTTGTCTGCACTCAGCAGGTTTTTCCACTTACTAAGCCAAAAAAACATTACTTTTCATGTTCTTTCTGAGCGTCAACAACACTTGACACGTTATCTAACTGTGCCTTTTACACCACTGGCATCTATAGTGTGTGTGTGCGCTGGCGTGTTAGTGTGTGCATTCTGTGCAGTCGGAAAGTGTCACCCATTTTACCAGAGCATCTGCACTACATCATGGAAAAGGGCAACCCTGTTGTTTACTTGTCTCCCTGCAATGTTGCACAGAGGGTTGATCAGGGGAGTTGATAGGAGCTGCAATTTAAAAAGAGGACACTGCAGCTCCGAACAAAAACAATTAAAGGAAAATGAAAGACGGCCCCCAAGGGTTAAAAATAGAAAATTATCAACATGCAAGCTGGAATCCACTGCCCACCACCACCACTCACACCCCCCTGTTAGAGCCCCCCCTCCCAAACTTGCTGGGCCTGCATTGTTATGTATGATCAGATCTGCCAGTTCTTCCTCTAAGCTCCTTGTCACATTTTGACTTAATGAAGTGCAACTTAGAAGGGAATTGGGTTCATCATGCTAGTCGCACGATGCTCCCTCGTTGTAGCAAACAGGAGTGGCATGGGACCAAAGCGATACAGCGCAAGTCGTTATCATTCCGGTCAGTCTGTTTAACACAAAATTAAACAAAGAACTAATTAGTGCCTCATGAATTAATAACTGCACTGTTGCAGTGAAGAAGTTAGGTTGCCGAGGAGAGATATGAAATAAGTAAGAAGATCAGGTTAGAATTATTATTACTTTTTAGACGGTGGCTGGGCTCTCAAGGTTAGGAAAGTTTCCAGAGGATGTAGGAGTTGAATCTGCTGCTGTCAGGGTCAGTGTATGTCAGTACTGTTCCTCAGTGTAGGGGGAAAAAAAGCATTTTAATTATCAAGTTTATGCTCTGCTCATTTGTATATGTATGTGTTTTTTAATCACTACTTCCTTCTAGTTTTTTGTCCAAAATATTATTTAATTCTTATGTTGCTTTATTTCAACTGGATGGAATTTTCTCTTAATTTTTAATCCTGACACAATAAGTGGAGTTATCCTTTGACTGAAGAACAGCTGTTAAACATATCTACCTAAGTGTCACTTCAAGATTACTGCCTGGAAGTACATCATTGCTGGCAAACTGCTGAAAATGCACAGACATGGTTAACAGTACTCTACAACTGCTGGTCATGCTTCAGTGAGCTTTACAAACCCTAGTCTCCTCCCCCAATCACCAGCCCCCGTCGCCCCCCCAGCCCTGATATCTGCACTGTTTTTATACTGTAAAAAAAATCAAACAGATGGGACTTAACAAAAGCACAGCTTTTACCTCTGAGTCATCTTGACTCTTTCTACATCATGTCAACCACCAGTGATTAGATGACTTGGGTAAATGTATGGATTTCCCAGGACCCTGTGTGCATTTACAATGAAATAATCAGTGTCTGGGGTTTTAATGTTTCTTCTTCTCTCCCTTTCCAGATGAAGTGAGCCCCTGGATGGAGTGACTCCCCAGGAAGAGAAAACGAGGTAGGACAAATCCCCAACATGAGTGATTACTGTCCCCACCATCTCCCCTGTTCATATCTACAACAATATCAGGCATCTTCATTAATCCCCATGGATCAATGTGTCTGGGGGTTGTAAAAATTGACAAATGACTTATTAGAATCCCACCGTTTTATTTTCCAACTGATTAACTCACAGCAATGTCGTACACTACACAGGCACACTGATGTATCTGTTTTTCACAGAGGGCCTCGCTCTTTCTTCCTCTTTCTCTCTCAGGTTGTGTACACTGCTGCAAAGCACCTTGAGCATTGTCTGTTAGAGCTTTAGTGATTTGAAGTACAAGAACAACGAGGTGATTTTGACATAGTGACACAGACGTAGTATTTTCTAACATTGACAATGGCTAAACAGTGTTGTCTCTGAGCTAAAACACCTTAAAAACAAGAAAAACTTAACTACTAATCCTTTTTTTACATTACATTTTAAATTGTTCAGTAACTCTTTGCATAATTTGTTGCAACTTCAGAGGCTTATGTAAAAACCTGAATACCAGCCTGTGGTTACCGTTCACTAATTTTTCCCATTATGATGTTGAAGAACTTTTTCCACAAAAAACACAACTGTTGTTTTCATGCTGTTTTCATGTGTAGAGATGCATTTGTCACTCACTCACTCCTGCGCCATCACAGATCCTGGCTTTTTACCCTGTTTGTCAATAACATTCTGGCGTGTGAAGCCACACCCACCCCTGCTTTCGCTGACTTTGTCAAATGCTCCCTTTGTACTTAACCTAAAAACACAAACCCCTTTTTTTACATTCCATTACTCATCAATGGACCAACTCCAATGTCACCTACACTGGTCGACCTTCTCTGTCTTACGTTGCTTTGCTCCTTACTGTTATAAAGTGTGCTGCAACCATCCTAGCCCTTTATGTTGAATTAAGTATGGGGTATTTCATATATCCCAGTGTGTTCTGGTATAAATGTGAGTGTGAATTTTAATATGTGGCCTAGTTATGGACAGGTGACCAGTCCCTCCCCCCTCCCTGGTCCCCAGGACTGGGATTAGCTCTAGCCAACTGTTACCCTAAAAAGACTTTAAAAAGATAAAAGGACACCTTTTTTGTCTTCTAGTCAAAGGTTCTTTTTGAGAAACACAATTATTAACTGAATGACAGACTTAAGGTTGTTAAGCATTAGTAGAAAAACGTCTTAAAACAAGGTTTGAATTTCCCACCATACAATAGCTGCTCATTGTTGGTACATATGTGTCCCACGTCCAGGTGACATTCAATAAATTATAACTGTGTGTAATATGTTCAGATATTATGTGGGCAACACCCCACGTTGTCATCTGTACAAAATAATTGAATTTCCTCACAGTATGGTGTTTATTACTGTAGCAGATATTAGACACAGACATCTAATTACAGATGACATCCACTAAATTAACAAGAGTATAATAATAAATAAAAAAATCTGCCTTTGTACATTTTGACTCTCTGGAGGACACTAATGACTTGTGACTTGAAGAAACTGGGTTGCTTTTTTTCTCCTCCTAAGATGAAACCTTCAGTGCTAATGATGTTAGCTGGTATGAGCACATTGCTGATGTGGGAGTATGTCAGGAGGATGCATACAACGGCCCTTGCCCCTGGCCTCCTAGTCAAGAGTCATCTAAACATTCAGAAGTGACACCGTGGGCTGTCTCATGTCAAATCAGAGACCCTGGCTATCACCGGGGGTGGCACGGCCGTGAATTGAGGCGGAGGGCTACATCACAATCCTTTGTTTCTGCTGGTGTCACTCACACACTAAAGAGAAGACACACTCCCTGCATCAATCAGAGTCCTAGTGTAGCTCCCTATAACAGGATGATGATGATGATGACGATCCACAGATATCTTTACAGATACACTGAGCCACAGCAGCAGGACAATCAAAGTCATCCATGAGATTCAGACACTAATACAACAGGTTTTTCTGAAAGTGGACCATGAGTCAAGTGTAGTTCAGCAGTGCAGTGTAGCGCAGACATGTCCAAACTTCAGTCTTCACTTGTGTGACCACAAAAGAGCGGCGTAAGAGACTATAGTTGGTTTAATTGGCTTTTGATATATGTTAATGCATATAATGATAAAGGCCAGCTGGCCTCAACACAGGGCTGGCATGACAACCCGCGTCCCCTCCTCACGGCCCCCGCAGACTTCCACGAGGGAACACTCCTAGTTCAGAGTCCCTCACTTCAACAGTGGGAGGAAAATTAAACTGCCAAATTTGTTTTCATTGGTTCCAAGAAAATCCTCCTGAGACTTCAAGGCTTTTAATTGAGCTCAGTGAGCAGAAATCTGTAAGGCTGCTTACCAACAAGAATTGTTGTCTACCGGTTAATTCTTTCAGGTCTCAGTGAAAGATCTGGCAGATTGGGACCGAGTGTCAAATAAACTGCTGCTTTACATGGTGTAAAATTTGTCTTTAGTACTCGAGGTCTGTGTTTAGGTTCTTTTTCATGCGCAGTCCTCCGTGGAAAAAAACAACAAGAAAATTGGTTTCATAACGGCTGATAATTGAAATTCAGAATCACTTTGTTTAGTGTTGTGTTGTCTTTTCAGGGCATGTGAGTAGGAGTGCAATAATACTGTAATAGACAGGAGTCATGGATGAAGGTAAATAAAGCTCACAGTTTGCCCAAGGAAGAGTAATTTACCACAGTGAGGAAAAAAGAGCAACAACTCAGGAAACTAAATTTAGTTTTATTGAATCACTCAGGGCAGCATTACAGCAAAAAATGAGAAGAAGCCTTTTCATTGCTGCACTTCTATACTTTCTCTTCTTTTAATTTTTTTTTCTCCCACTGTGTGACAAAACAAGCAAAGGCTACGTGGAAACGGCAGCTCTGTGTAAATATTTATGATGTAACATCTCCATGTGAATAGACTTTCCTCCCAATCCATCCATCATTACAGGCATATCGTGAAAGCCCACCTCCCGGTGGCGGCTCAGGGCCTTAGGAAGCTCAGACAGGAGTGGCGTGTCCCCCTCTCATTCAAAGTATTTGTTTTTCTTTTGACTGGGGGCAGCCCAGCTGTGAGGGCATTTCATGTGTCAGCCCCATGGTTTTCATTCAGCGCCGACTTCAAAGCCCATTTGAGTCCATTGTTTCTGTGACGTGGCTGCTAGACCCCAAAAATGGCCAAACAGAAAAATGTGATGTAGGTCAAATTAAAGCAGTTGTTGCCTTGAAAAAAAAGTGAAATTCTTATTGCCAGAAAATAAAGCCCTGGTTACCAGCTAACCCCAGCTTTTGTGTCCGCTGTCCAAATATCTGTTCAAGAGTTGAATGAACGTTGGCAAGTGTGAAAATGAGGATTAAGATGAAAAAAGTCTGTCAGAAAATCAAAGTTTTAAATCTTTTTGGTTGCTTTTTTGTAGTGGGGGGGGGGGGTTACATTCTCTAGCTCTTGTCATGTCAACTTAAGATTATTTAAAATTGGAGGCTGAAACATGTGCCTCTGTTTTGATATTTCTCACCTTACATGAACAACTCTGACTTGAGCAACATTTTGAAATGCCACTCATGTCTTCATTTGGTCCCAGCAGAAGTGGGATGAAGGCTGTTTGGTGTGTGTTCTTTAAGCCTTACAGTCCTAAATAATGTGAAGGTGTAATAGATTTACGAGGTTTGTGAGTGTTTGCAGAAGTAGGTATGTCTACTGCCTTACCTAAGTGGATTACAAGGTTTTAGGCTTTTCTCCTTGCACAACTTATCAGCAGAAAATAGGCGTTGCAGACGTTAGCGAAATATTGCCACCCAGACTCTCATAACATTATCATTAGCCACGGAGGATTGCTGAAATGTGATTAATATATCATCATTTTGACAGAGTGAGTCTGAAAAGGTAATATGGATTATTACAATGGTTGTAAAGCTCAATACTGGCGTCCAAGTTTATCCATTTATCTGTAATGATGAGACTCCTTTGTGTGGTATAGCACTGTAACATCTATCTAAATAACAAAAGATATCTCTCCCATACACAGTTGTTATGCTGTTAATATTCAGTCTGTGCAACAATGCATATGGGAATAGAGTGGAGACAAAACTTGACTCAGAACAGTGAAAAAGTCCATAGAACATCATGAGAATTATGAATCGATGTCCGAGCCTCCAGTGCTGGGCACTTGTTTTCCTTGGCTGAGGTATCTTATTACCCTCAAAATAAAATATTACTACTGTATTGTTCAATTACAACTGGTCGAGTGGTGGATGATGCAATTCCCTCTGTGAGAGCTTTTTTCTTCTTCTTTGTTTGGGTATACAGTACACTTTGTGTGTTTTATTTAGTCGGCCTTGGATGATACTGAATAAATGCCGTTTTTCTGTCATTTCAAGTGGCTCTTTTCTCTCGGTAGATCCATTCAAGCTTTCAATACCTTTTCTCCCCTCTCCTCTCCTGTCTCTTTTTTCCACGAGCAGGAGGGTTTTACTTTACTCCTTTGTCATCCTAATTGATTGCATTAACCTTTTGAGTATTGAATTTCCTGTGCATCACGCCGAGCACAATGTGGAATATTATCATAATCCCTCCAAGTAATGGACACAGGGCAATCAACAATGCTTTAGGAAAAGTACATCTTTGAAAGATGGAGCATCATATTATTTTCCATCCAAAGACCTAGACAGGAGGAGACTGTTGAGCTTTAAGAAACTTTGCCAAGGTTTTTTTTTTTTCCTTATTTGTCATACAAGTCAGAATGGCTGCTTTTAATCTATTCTGTGTGGGAAACGTAAAAAAATCAGCATCCTGTTGAGATTAAAATGAATAATCTGGAAGAACACTTTTTTTTACATCAGGTAAGTCATTATTTTGTCAACTATTATATATTGGGCTGGTTGCCCACTAACAATTGTAGTTGTCCTTTGTGCAATACCTAGCTAGCTTGGTTTTAAATCTCCCTGTGTCTTTGCTATTTTTTTTCAAATTATTAAGATATTAGTCTGGTTTCCCACATTGT